AAGGAGGAGGAAGAAGAAAGGAGGAGGAAGGAGGAAGAGGAGGAGGAGAAAGGAGGAGAAGAGGAGGAGGAGGAAGAAGAAGAGGAAGAAGAAAGGAAGAGGAGGAAGAAGGAGGAAGAGGAGGTGAAAGGAGGAGAAGGAGGAAGAATAGAAGGAGGAGAAGGAAGAACAACTAACATTGATTTAATTTGAAATTTAATTAAATTAAAATTGCAGTAAAGCAATTAAATATTACCCACATATTTAATAATATTTCCACACACTTTTAGAACTTAAAAGTTGGTGTCTCTTGGACTGTCCCTTCTGAAGCAGCTTAGGTTCTTCAACGCTGGTTGAGTTCCGCCCATTGAACACTCACACTCAAGGCCTCTTGATGCTTGATATCAAAACTCTGATCTTTCTAGCCAATCGACTGGTGCAGATCGATTTCTACTACTATCAGATCTGTTACCAACGTGCCTATGCCGACATTTGTCTTATTGAGCCTTGTGTGGAACAGAACTAGCTTATGTGGTCAAAGTATTTCCATTTAGGTCTCTGGCTTCTGGACAGTATTATCTTCTTAGAACCTAGAAACAAAACCAACCATATTTCAGGATCTACTCGTGATTCGGCAGGTCTGCCAGGGGAGAGAGAAAGAAAGGTCATTTCAGCTGTCCAGTTAAATTAAGCAGGCACTTCTAGGTCAACAGCAGCGATATAAAAAGATGCTAGAGGCAGATGATCACTTGAGCAACAATGGCACAGGAGAAGGACTGATAAACCGCTCCAGTTATTTACAAAGAAAACCGGATGGATAGATAAGATACAATGATTATTGATGTAGTGCTGGATGATCAGTTGGATCGCGCTCAATAATACTACTGAAGAAAATTGGAGGATCTCTCAGAATATCGGTGGTGGTCATGACGGATTTAGCCTTCTGGTCATCTAGTTGCTGATGCTACTCCATGCAGTAGCCAGAATGCCGAAGTTGCAAAGACAGAATTGAAGTGGGATCATGCAAGGAAGCATGAAATGAAAAAAAAAAAAAAAGTTGATGAAACTTAATATTATATGGAGAAAGCAGTAATAACCCTGATTAGTTTCATTTTAATTCTGTAATTTCAAAGGAGTTCAAGAATAAACCTGTCTGTCCATCCATCATCTTTCCATCCATCATCTACCCACCCACCTTCTACCTATCTACCTATCTACCAACTATCTCTATCTATCTATCTATCTATCTATCTATCTATCTATCTATCTATCT